ACTTGAGAACTTTATTAAATTTTTTCAAAGATATCTTTATTCATTAGATACAATTTTATTTGACAATAAATTTTTAAATTTTTTTATAAAAAGGTTTAATAATTTTTTATTAAATATCATTTATAATAGTTTTATTATTACCATTTTTAACATAATATAATTATCAATTTTAATAAATTTTTTTAAATACAATTCAAAGATAATAAATATAAATTAAATATAATTTTAATTTGTAAGTTATGAAAAATATTATAATGAATTTCACTTAACTTCAATTTTAGACATTTTATAGTGAATTTGTTAATATAAAATATGTGAAACTAATTAATTTTTTTTGTTAATATAATCATCTATATATACAATTTTTTTACAGTTGAGAGGTAACTCAAAAACTTTATTAAATTCGTTTATAAATTTTATTATAAATATATAAAATAATATATAGATTGATTATCATTTTAAATTTTAATAATCATCTAGCTTTTTTGTTTTTTGGCGGTGGTAAGAAAAATAAAATGATTCATCAAAGTCTAAAAATTTGGATGGAGACGAGTATCGTAAGGCATTTTACGAAAGTGGTATTAATAATTTTAAAAAGATGACGTGTTATGTAATTAAGAGTGATGGACAATTAAGAAGGCAATGAATGCTGATATACAACACCGAGGACCAGCCAGTATAGTGACGAAGTTTAATAAAACGGTTTTTCAAAAGTAAGAAAATGAATTAAAAGATTAAATTTTAGTCAATTGCATCCAAAACTAAAAGCTAATATCATTGGAAGTACACACACAACAATAAAAAAAATGAGGGTACAAAGGCTAAAACAACTTTTATAAATTATTAACAACTTTTTATTCATTAATATTAATAGATGACGTGTTATGTAATTAAGACTAATGGATAATTAATAAGGTTATTTTTACTATTCATATTGTTTCATATTCTAGTCATTGAAAAAATGTATAAAAAATGATTAAGAAAATGGATGAATGTTGGGATCTAACATTACTCCTGATATATCTATTCTAGTTTAAGAAATAGTGTTTTTTCGTCAACTTTTGAGAATTCAATTGATATGGGTATATTTCATAAATTTAAATAAAATATATATTTATGAATTTTCACGAGATTACATAAACTCTTTTCTTAACTTTCTCATAGTAGATCTTGTTTATCATAATATAGTCATACATATATTAGTAAAATCATTAAATCTTCATAGTCTGTGGCTTATTATAATATCACTGTAAATCCATCCTTCATTGTACATATTCTGAAAAACAAATGATGGCATGTGAAACTCCTATGCTAATTTAAAGAACCATCTAATATTTTTTGAATTATTTCACAATGAACCTCTTCACCATAAAATAATTATAGATATTTATAAAATCATGTTTATTATTTTTCACAATATTATCGCAAATTAACCTTTCCTAATACATTTTACAAAATAAATGTTGACATGGAACGGTGCTTACAAGATATTGATATCAATTTTAAAAATATTTTTTATAAATTTTTTAGATCTAACTGTCACATGTGTATGTCTATTTTACACATCTGAATAAAAGACAACAAAACAACTATAAATTTGCACAAAATCACATTAACCCTTTTTTAACTCCTATTGGGATGTTTATAAAATCACATCCATTAAACCATCATAGTTTGTCACTTATTGCAATACCACTCCAAATCAATAATTTTTTACCCATTTGAGTTAACAAAAATGGGTAGACACATTTGGGATGACCCATCATGGACACCTCCAACAAGTTAGACTACAAAGATTTAGATTTAATTCAAACTCATATAAATGGTGACCAAAATAGATAAAAACAAATCTTTTGCAAGTTTTTGTGAGTTTAGTTCACATTGAGCTTTATCAAAATGGGCTAAAAAGTCACAAATTTATTTTGGGTTCAAAATTTAAAACTGAAGCGTCATGTGAGTTTGGGCAAGCCTATTTTGCCAGCTCTACTACCCATAAGATATTGATGTCAGTTGAAGAAATTGCTTCTTAGGAACTTTTGTGGATCCAATTACTATAAGTATATCTACGCATTGACTAAGAGAAAACGAAACAACTATGAATTTGTGTCGTGAAAACCCATGTCAACCTATTTTGAACCCCCTTGTTGTGGATCTTCTTCACTATAATATACTTGTAATTGTTTGAATAATCAACTTATCGTAATATCACTATAAATCAACTTCCCCAATACACACTCTACGAAATAAATAAATGTTGGCATTTAACATAACCCACAAGATATTGATGTCAATTTAAAGAATTGGTTCTTTATGGATACAATTGTTACATGTGTACTCCACTTATTTTAATAATAAAAAATAAAACAACTATAAATTTGTGCAAAACCACATCAACCCTTTTATGATGGATATTCTTCACTATTAGATGTTTATAAAACCACATCCACTAAACCATCATAGTTTATCATTTATTGCAATACCACTTTAAATCAAACCTCCACTCCTATTATACCCATTCTAAGAAAAAAAAATACTGGCATTTACCAAAAACAAAAAATATTAACGTCAATTTATGGAAACCCTTCTTACAAAATATCCCATTCATTTAATAAAGAGGTTAAAAAAAACCATGAATTTGTGCAAAATCACATTAACCCCTTTTGAACCCCCCTCATAATGTATCTTCTTCACTACAACATAGCTACCAATGTTTGCAAATTCACATCTATTAAACCATCATAATTTGTTACTTATCATACTCTAAATAAATGTTAACATTTAATTAGGGGTGAACATAGATTAAATTTATATAAATTCAATTCAAATCTATTTTAAATTTAATTATGTAGATTAGATTTTAAGCTAATTTATATTGTATTTTCAAAAATTAAATTAAAATTATTTTTTAAATATAGATATAGTTTAAAATTAGTTTTAATAATATACTTTCTTAGCACAACAAGATTTATATATATATATATATATATTTCTATGTTTTTATTTTATTTAATATAAATTAACATTATATAATATTATTGCAAATTAATATATTAAAATATTATTATAAGATATAAAATTTATCTTATCATAAAATAATTAAAAAAATAATTTTTAAAATATATTAATAAAAAATACATTATATATATATATATATATATATATATATATATATATATATATATATATAATACAAATAGAGAAAACGTAGATATCCCATGCAGCAAAACTTAACATAATGAATAGGGCTTATTACTTTTTTTGAGTGAACCGTTTAGCATAAATAATATAGGGGTGCTGGTCCTGGGACTTGGAGCAAACCATTCGGCATAAAAACTGGTTTTTTAGTATTAAAACTTATTTTATTAAATGAGATCTAAAATTTATCTCAAACAGAAAAAAATAAGTTTGACGTGTAATTTTTTAAAATAATATAAATTTTTAAATTTAATTTATTTTGATTATGAATTATATCATTAAATCTGAATTTTTTACACACCCTTACATTTAATACTATCCACAAGATATCAGTGTCAATTTAAGTAACCATTTATTTTGAACTTTTTATAAATTCAATTGACATGTGTATCCTATTCATTTAAACAAGATAGAACAAAACAACCACGGATTTGTGCAAAACCACATCAACCCTTTTTCAACCCTTCACAATGGAATGGATCTTCTTCACTGCACAATAGTCGCACATATTTGGAAAACCACATTCATTAAACTATTGTAGTTTGTTGCTTATTGCAACACCACTCTAAATCAACCCCCTTATTATACACTCTAATAAATGAACATTGGCATGCATAATTTAAGGAACCGTTTTTATGAACTTAAATGGATCCGATTGATATTAGTGTATTTCACAAACTTAAATAAATAAATAAAATTATAAATTTGTGCAAAAATGCATTGACTTTTTTTAATTGCTCTGTGAATTCTTCTTAGGCATGTAATAGTAATAAATATTTGCAAAACCGCATCCATTAAACCATCAGTTTTGCTTATTGCAATACCACTATAATTAATTTCCCATTAAACACTTTAATAAATGAACGCTAGCATATAATTCATGAATTTGAATAAGAGAAAAAAATAATCATGAAATTGAAATATAAATTAAAAAAATAAAAATGTAAATAAACATAATTTATTTGATATTTTAATAATTCATATTCAAAATGTTGTTGAGAGTTATGCAAAAAAACTATTTCTTCCTATCAAAACTTATCAAAGCATGTTCAATTAATAAATTTAAAGTATCCAAATATTTGCTTGAGAGTTCACCGGTTCACTTTAAACTTGTAAACTCTCCATAAAATCATATTTTAAAAATGATTCATACAATAAAAAAAAAATAGTATGTTTTACTCAATATGATAAGCGTTTGATTGGCTTCATTAATCACATTTACTTTACAAACCAACTAACTATTTTAGATAGCCACTGCCAAGTCTATGCGTGCAGACATCGTCGGTGTAAAACACATCAACCAATGGCATCCCCCTATATCTGGCAAGCGGTGATCGTCTCAAAGATCATGAATAGACACCTTTTTTAGTCCAACAAAGATGATTTGACCATCCAATCTCCTTCACCGGCACTGGTTACTCTTTAAGACAAGTGCTTCTATGGTAAACTGTAGTAATAACCATTTATAGAAATTAAATTAGAACTATAAACTTGTTTGGTTACAGGTTTTTTTGTAGAAACAACCGAGGTACACATGATCATGTATACATCTTGGAACTTAATTAGGGAATAAAACAAAATACTAATTGACCATATATAAAAACAAAATAATAAAAAAGCAAAAGCATGAAGTCTTAAAATAACAAAACACTTTGTGTTTGGTAAATTATCTTGTATTGGTCTTGATTATCTTTTAAGTACATATTAGATCTAAATACACAAAGGTCTGACAATATAATTAAGACAGAAAACTAAAGTAATAAGTCTAGAAAACAGAAACAGTGAACTAGTTGAGACGAGTAACGCTCATTCATCTGACTGCTATATCTTAGCAGATCCAAAAACACAGCTAAGCAACCTATTTATGCTATTTACTTTTGCGGGAATATCTCAGTCTAGAAAATCAAAGCCTATCCGCATATCTGTCTAGAAAATCAAAGTCTCTACGCTAGCTTTCTTTGGCGTTCTGCAAACTGGACAAGCCTCGAGGAAAGCATTGCAAACTTTGCACGAAGCAAGGTGCCTGCATGGGAGGAACAGATAACACGATTCTCGAGAATGACAGCTTTTACATAACATAACTCCCCTCGTAATCTGTTCAAACTTGTTAACCCCACCTTTGTTTTTTTCTTCAATCCCATGGCTTCCTCCTGTTTCATCACAGAAAGATTCCGCATCATTTGCCACCACCCCATTGTTAGAACAATACCCACCTTCTCTCATGTCTTCCAATGTTTTATACAGTGCTAATGCCATGGTTTCCTTCTCTTGAGCCACTCTTTGCCACTTTCTATTTTCAGCCTCAAGATTTCTTAAATACTCTTCTAACTCCAAACGTTTCCTTGCAGCTTTTGCAATTTCTTCATCTTTTTCTCTCAGGATGTGAAGTGAACGAGATTCTAATTTTTTAAGTAATGATGCCACATGTTGCTTTCCTTGCTCTTGTAACTCATATCTGAGTTTCTCATTCTGTCCCATCAAAAATTAATTCTCAGAATGGACTTATGAAAATCATAATCACAACCTTGGCACAAAAAATGAAACATCATATGTATGAATGAATCCTAACCTGAAATCTGATGTATTGATCAGTCTCCTCCCATTGTTTCTCTAGCTGAATAGCAATGATTGGAGAATTCAAGGCTTTTGAATCAGAAACATGAAGATTTGGATCAACAGGTCCATCTCTCCTATTATAAAACTCACTCAAATGATGTTTCTGTTGTGAATTGAATTGGGAATCAACAGGCCCAACATAATAACCATTGTTGCAAAATGAAGAGACAAGGTTATTTGGGTACAACTGTGCTTGAATAGCCATAATCTTAACACCAACCTTACAAAACGATCAAAGCCTGAACCTTGTCCTCAAATCTTCACATGCTCAGATGAAGGGGTCAGAACAATTTTTTGGCCATGTTCTCACGGCGGGATATTGGGTGTGATATGGAGACAGAAATACTTGTTTGTGGCCGTACTAGCTAATGGGTAGTGTGCAAACATATATATACATATAAAATTGCATGAATAAAAACAAATTGCTTGCGCAAAAAAAGTAGCAAAGAAACTTAATAAATCAGCAGTTTAATTTTATATTTGATTTTTTAACGTATTTAATGGCATAGGTTAAAAATTAATAAACAATAAATTTTTAAAAAAAATTATAATACTTAATATTATAAATACATTATTTATTGTATTTTTTATTAAAATAATATTATATATAAATAATTATTATGTATTATTGAAAATACATTAAAAAAATTATTTGATATTTTAGAGTGTTATTAATTATTGTCTGAAGAGCATTAGTTAAAAAATTAATAAACAAGTATTTTTTATTAAAAAATTATTTTTATTCTTTAATTAGAACATTTATTAACATTTGTAATACCAGTATTTTATTATGAAAATGTGTCAACATTAATTAGGCTCAATTAATGGATAGATTTGGATTGAGCAGAGAAAGTAACTGAAAAACTTGAAAAGAAAACAGGGGAGGAGCCTATAAATGGTAGGATGTGTTGTGGACTTTCCCTCTCTTTTGCTTTTTCTTTAACTCTGTCCTTCCTATTTCTATCTATCTTATTCTTACCTGTCCTGTAAGCATTAAAGAAATAGGTGCGATGTGGTAAGCCACAACGTAGCACATGCATATTTTGTGACTAAACTATCCGGTCAGAGATTTCAGAGGCTTTGAATAAATGGTGGAATTGAATTCGAATTTCAAGTAGGTGGCAAGCGAGAAACTCACAGGAACCTGTAAAAAGAGTCCGTTTTTATTGAAGATAAAAGAATATATATATATATATATATATATATATATTTATATTTAATGTACATAATAATAAATAATAAACTTTTATTAAAAATTATATATAATATTATTTATGAAATAAATTTAGTAATATTTAATATTTTAATAAAAGATTATATATATTCAAAGACAAGTTAAGAAAATAAAAGTAAACTACTCAGGTAGATTTGTCAGTTTGCTTATTTTAAAAGGAATAGATGCACCATTTATTGGCCAAAGAAAAACTCAGCGAAGACTTTTTTTTTTTTTTTGTCGTATTTATGCATTGCTAAACTCTGTTTGCCAATTCCTAGCTGTCTTTTCTTTCATTTGTTAGTAATTACAGCGCTGATAACCTTAGGAATTTTTTAGATGGGAAATGTCTCATAGATGCAAATAGATTTTACCTATCAGTAAATATATGATAATGATTTTGGCTGGAGGAAGAGAAGAAGTTTTTTTTTTTTTCTTACGAAAATAAAAAAATAAATTACAAAGTTATGGTGTTTTGAAAAAAATTATAGAAATTTTTTTTTAAAATATCAATAAAATTTTTTAATAAAAATTATTAGTAGCATTTTTTTGTACTTTTAATAAATTTTTTAAAATTGTCACTAATAATTATTTATTTTTAAAAAATTATTACTAATAAGTTTTGACTTTTATAATTTTTAATATTTTTTTAAAAATCATCTGTCACAATATTTAAAAACTTGATAAATTTTTATTGTTATATCAATATTTACATAAAAAATTTAAATTATATATTTCTATAAATTTTTCACAAATGTTATATTTTAGTATACATAATTTTTAAATTACATGTATATATAAATAATTCAGAAGAAGGAATAACAGTGAAAAAATTTATAATTTTACTCTTATAAGCTTGTGAGGGTATAAATTTAAAAAATTAGTAAAGACACTGATACAAAAGTTAAAAATATAAAAAATTATTAAATTTTAATAATTTTAGGACATTAAAAAGACTGTGCAACCAATAATTTATTTTAATCTTTTAAATATTGTCAATATAAGTTATTATCTTTTTGTAATAATTTTTATTATTTTTTATAAATTAATTTATAAAAAACTTTAATAACTTTTTATAAATTATTTAATATTTTTTGTAGAAACATTTATTATATTTTTTATTTACCTTTAAAAAATAAATTAGGTGAAATCTTAAATTAAATTTTATACAAATAAATACTAATTGTGAAATTAGTACAAAAATTTTGCCATACTATAATAAATTTTTAAAATTAATTAATTTTATCTACTTTTATTTACTGATCTGCTTAATTTAATTGAAGATGTCTAATAGAAAATATTAGAAGAATATTTGATACATTTAGAATTTTCAAATGCTTATCCATATAAAAATAATTTTCTACAATTTATTTTATTTTAAAATCAAGAACAAATAATTTTTAAAATCTTATCTCGTTTCTTTTTATAATTGAGAGAAATATAATTATATATTGTTAAAAAAACTTATCATGCGTATATTTTTATTTTTTTATTATCTTTTTATAAGTCTCTACTTGTTTAGTGTTTAGAGATAACAAATTATATATTTGAGCCATTAATTTTACCTTGAATTACGTATCATGCTGAAAAGACAATTGCGAAGGGAACACTTGAAATGAAATAATGAGTTATTATGCATAGTTGAGCATATTTTTTAAAAATATATAAAATACATTTTTAATAAAAAATAAATATTTTAATATAATTAAATGACATTAATACTACTAAATATTTTAATTTTTAATAAATAATTACTATATATATATATATATATATATATTTCTATGTATATCTTTTTACGTTATATAGGGTTGAACAAGTTAAAAATATATTTATAATATATATCTTATTAAACATATTTTTTGAAAAAAAAAACATTACGTAAAATTTAATACACAAAAAATATTTGGAGAATCCTAAACAAACACTCCAGCATTTGCAAAAGAACAAAAAAGGATGCTAAGTAAGCAAATTATATATAAAAATGTTTACATATTAAACATTTAAATTGAAATTTTATTAGAAACCATATTATCTTGGATTTAAATAGTAAGTGCTAAGGATCTGCATATATTGTTCAGTGTGATATCACCCAAAAAAAAAACTTTAATTGGGGTTCAGCTTTTTTGGTTAGTTGAGCTTGTACTAGATCCCTTTCCTTATTTTGAAAGCAAATTTCCACTTACTCTCCATGTAAGCTATAAGGATTTAACCATGATAACTTGCAGGATGAATTACATTATTGACATATTATTTACTAATTGTATGTTGAATTTTGATTATATAATACAAATGTGATTTTTTTAAGTCAAACATTACAAATTCAACCAAAAAAATTTATTTTTCATGATATTTTAAAATTATATATTGAATATTAATATACAAAATTGTTTTTAAAATTTAAAATTTAATATACTAAATTGGTTTGGATTCAATTCCCAGCTGTGTGTAGAAAAAACTTTGTTGACTTAATAGAGATAAAATTCACTTTATAACATATATTTAGAAAGGTATTAATCTTTAGCAGTTGAGGCTTTGTAGCACATCAAAATAATATAATTAAAAAAATAATTAAAATTAAAATTTCAAGAATTAAAATCACCTGAAATAAAATTTCAAAATATTTTATCCAAATAGATGTGTTTGAAAGCCTGCATCATGTATAAAAGAAGAAAGTAAGTTTTCATATACCTTACCGTCCATCCAAAGCAAAACTAAAAGGCCAAAAAGAACACGCAAGTCACTTGTGTTAAACAGTGTTATTTGAATACAGCCATCAAAGTTAAGCATTTAAGTAGCTCATCCAATTACGCTGCTCTTGACACGCATCTTTATTATTAAAAAGTGATAAAAAAAAGTATAAGATAAAATATTTTTAGTAATGGAAAGAAATACAAAATATAAAAATATATTATAAAGGTAAAATATATCTTTTTATCTTTTGATTTTATTTATAAGAAATAAATATTACTTTTTTGTCTTAATTATAAAAAATGTAAATACATTAATTATTAATTTGTTATATTATTATTTATCATAAAACAACTATTTATTATATAGGCAAATTATTTATCATAAAGTAAAATATAAATTTTTATATATAAATAGTTTTTATTCATATTAGCATTTATTTGTATAAAAAAAACAACTCATTTGTTTATTTAATAAACAAGGGACACATTGCTGAGGTATGAGGTTAGGCACAGTCAATATCCACATTGGATGATCACGATATTCTTTTGAGCCTTGGACGTTACATTGGACCTATCTTCTTGGAACCGCACATGTAAGAGCCTCCATGGAAGCCCTGACCATGACCCACAATGTTATTGACGTTTCTGGTGGAATCCCAAATCACGGAAAAATTTAAGTAGTTTATTATATGCCAAGCCAACACCATGAGTAGACACATGCACACGAAATCTCGGTGTTGGAGAAAAAGTCATTAACTAATGTATTTTATTAATTCTCTTCTGTTTCTTTTGTTTAACATTAATTAGATTTGGATGAAAAGCAAGACAGATGGAGAAAGCACAAATAATGAACTGATTGATCATAGATGAATAATTGAATGCTATGGTGTGGCAAAGACTGAGGTGAATTGGTGATGGACCCACATGCAGGCCACCCACATGAACTCTCTTCCATCTTGGGCGGTACTTTGTGCAACTGCAACCAAAGGTACAATCCACCCACATTGACTTCGTTTTACACTTTTATATTTGTTATCATGCCAATAATATTCTCAAGGAAGACCCATATCTTTCACTTGTGGGTAGTGGGGTTAGCTTTATTTAACTCGTTAAAGATGTGGACATATTCCAAGACCCTTAGCCCAATTTTCTCGTACATGATGCACAAAGTCTTTGCAGTAACTTCTTAACTACTTGTCATTTGTTTTGTTTTTGAACCTCGAAAGAAGCGATATATGATGGAGCTAGTGTAAAGGGCAGTTCCATTCCCCCAATGCTTGTGGCCGTTGTGATTTTAAATATTCAATAGAAACGGTCAAAAACCTTTATTTGTTCATAATTTTTAACTTTTAAGACATTTATTTGACATAATCATGATAACATGATAGTATTCTCGTGGATCAAGCAACCCTTAAGACTAGGGTAATTCTACCATGTAGTA